CTGTTCATTTTCTAATCACCAATGGAAATATCACAGCTGCCAAAGAGCTCAGGGACCAGAGGGGAATGAGGACGTAGGCCCCAAGGAGAGTCAGACTATTAAGACTCAAAATTTAGCTGTCAAAATACATGAGAATGAAGCACTCAAGCAGATGGATTTCCTGCTTTAAAAATTTTCTTCAGGGCTTTTCTTGCAGCCACAGAGCAATCCCATCACATCAGCAGAACAGGAGTGGCTTTCAGGCTGATTCTCTACATTTTAAGCATCAAAAGTTAGAGAGAGTTTTTGACTCAGACAACCCTTCCTGAGGGGGGCACTCAGGAGCCCCTTGTCTGAAGGGAACCACCTGCCCCTATTGCATGAAAAACTTCGCCAGGTAATGTGACCCCACAAGTGCTGGATGGGGGTTTAAATGGGCTGTGCGTTAAAGACCCTGTGGAATATTTGCCCTTCTCCTCTGAAGACATAAGGTCTAATCCTATTCGAGTCACACATGGAAGTGACTTCATTGACCTCAACTTTGTCCTTAGCAGATGGGCATCAATCTTACTGTAAAGAGAGGACCAGAACACTGAAGCAACATCCATTACTGGAATGCAGGGTGCTGCAGGGCAAGGGCAAAGGGGCACTAGCAGAGCTGTGTGGAGAGCCCAGGGATGAACCAGAGGTGCTAGAGGTTTGGGATTGAAATGGATAGGCAGAGCGAGTGGGTGGGCAGGACTGGCATGGCATGGCAGGGAGGGCTAAGGTGCATGAATGAAGCTGAGAGTGCCTAGCAGGGGGACGGCAGGAGGCACTAATCTCAGATTTAGGCTAGAGGTGCATTGGCAGAGCTGGGGGACAGGAGGCACTGAGGGGTATTTCAGATCTCCCCTCCCACCCCGACACCAAGCTTTGACCCAAACACTAACCTTTCTAGGCACTGGCAAGGGGACAATGCATTGCTAACGAATCCATTCTTTGGATCAGATGTTAAATCAAGCTCACTTCGGGCTCCCTGTACTGGGAAGATGTCATGTGCTTGACATGGAGAGTAAAGGATGACCAGGGTTTTGTGCTCAGTCTCATTAAACCCCCATGAACTGTGGCAGTCGGGTAGGAGCTATTATTGATTGCTTAACAGGCCACATTCTGAGCCGGCGGGGGTAGAAGTAACTCTCCTGACAACTGCCTACACCAGATTGGAATTTGATCCAGTGACTGCTATATTTGCCTGTACAGTCACTACATTCCCACAGGTAACCCGTCCCTGCAGAAAGCATTCCGGGACACCTCAAATAGCAGAGATGCTATCGGAAACAAGTGCATTGTCCTGCTTGAGGTATCAAGCTCTGCCCTTGGTGCCAAAGGCTTCTGGGAGCAGCCTGGCTTGCAGCATAGCATCAGGCCAAGGAAGGAAAGGCAGGTGGACTCTCTGTGCAAGGAAGTGAATGACACATACAGCAATAGCAGGGGAAGCAGAGTAGAGAAGGCGGGGACAAGAGGGGACCTTGTAATATCACAAACAGCAAGAGCTAAGCTCCAGCCATGAGGAACAGGAGAGCTGGCTTTGCCCTGTTTGAAGAATCCCTACAGAAAACAATACAGCCCCAGCTGGTAGGGAAACAGCCAAAGGTAAACTGCACCAGACTTGTGCTGAAATCAAGAGGCAGAACTCCAGTCAGGAGAGAGATTTGTTTTCAGCTCACCTTAGGTGGCAGCCAATCGCCCCTGCTCCATTCTCCTCCCCCCGTCCGTCCTGATCCTGTCCCTGGAACATAGGGCAGCCCTGTAAACACACGTCTCCCTGCAAGTCACAGACATACATACCTGCCCGGGTAAAGTCAAGCAAGCTAAGCCAGGAGCCTGATGTCTTTGTCAGGCCGCGGCTGGGAAGAGGGAGAAGCTGGAATCGTACGTATAGTTAGCCCAGACAAGCCCAGAGTGAATTGCTCCAGAAAGGAAATTAAAACTTTCCTACATTGTGTACACTCTCTAAAGCCACACACCCCCTTTGCTCTAGCCAGCTTTGTCCCCCTTTCAGCTCACTAGTTTCATGGTATTTTTGTGTTATTTCCAGTTTGTTAATGAAACTTACTAACCTGTAAACAACTTTTCTTCCGGCCCTTTGCAATCAGCTGGATGGTGATGTCAACCCCAGAATTCCTGATCCCTCCCATTTTGGCAGTGTAGGCTCCTGTAAAGCTGTGGGATTGGCTGGATGATACAGCTGTCCTTCATTCTTTTAAAGAGACAGAAGGACCGGTTAATGAGACATGGCAGGTGGCTAATTAGCACCTGTCTTCTTGTCTGTGGGAGTTAGAAATCCACTTACCTTGTTGCGCACACAATATGTTCAGCATTTTTCCTCCAGCCTCCTGTCTGGAGAGTTTCATACAGCACTAGTCCCTGACACGGCAAAGAGCTAACTCTTCATGGCCGTGTGACACTGCTTTTCTACACGACTTTGCTTTCTGAGGATCTCCAAACATTTTACAAACACTAATGACTTCACCCTGTCAGGGAGAGGTAAGTAGCTACCATCTGGCAGACTTGGTGACGTGACTGGTCTAAGATCATTTCACCAAGGCAGAGCCAGGAATAGAAGTAAAATTCTCATGCTTTAACCACTAGACTGTTCTCCCTCCCATAAGGGCCCTAAAACAATGTCATTCCTAGGAGATCGCTTTCAGTTCTTGGTAAGGGAATTATTAGTTGTATTGCCATAGTGCTTAAAAGCTCTAGTCCTGGACTAGGACTCCATTGTGCTGGATACTGTACAAACAGAATAGAGAGCTTCCGATCTAAGTATTACTGTGAACAATTCCTCTGCTCCTACTGTGTTTTCCCCATTTGAAGTTACAATCCCCTGTGTGACATTTTAAGGTGCTTTCCCTCTACAACACCCTTGCAGCCGGGTGTTCCTGCTGACAGTCACTAGATTTGCACTCTGGGGGACTGGAAGTGGGACAACAGCAGTGGAGGGCTCTCAACTCTGGAACTCAGTCCCCAGATAGATTGGGACCATGCATTTGCTAGAGGGGCAGCAGTGTAAGAGAAACATGCTTTCTGGTGATGTGATGGGGCTGGTGTCTCAGCTCTGTACTGTATCACAGCCCTATTACTGGGGAGCCTAGCTGTTAATCTCCCACCATCCTCCACTCCACAAACTATCTGCCATTCAATGAAAATCCTTCTCAGCAACACTGTGATTTTGTTATTAAAAATGTGACATGGTCAGCTTAAAATATATATTTTTAAAAACAAGATTGGGCTTTCTGAGCTGCTGAGCACCTAGGCTCAATGGCACGCTAGAGCGTGGAAACTGAAGAACATTATCCTCTAATTTCCTTTGCCCCATTTATTGTGGTTGTTTACTTTTTGCATCTTTTACTCTGGACAGTGTACGCTGGTCGGGTTCAGTGGTGCATCTCTGGTCAGTTTTACTTTCAGAAGCTCCAGCAGGGGCATGCCCTTATGTGGGCTGCAGACATAGCAGGGAAAAGTTTAAATCCAAACAAAAACCCACATGCCAGGCCTAAGCTGGCCTGACGGAGTCCCTGGAACAATCTCTTACCTGTAAATGCCCTCAGAGAGCCTCAGCAATGGGTGCAGGTTTTATAAAGGTAAGAAAACAAAAAGAAGGACCCACCATCAGCACCACATCAACCTGTCGAGGGTTACTGCCTGCTAAGTGGTATGAGACAATGGAAAAGTACGGCCAGTTTTAAGGAGTTCTGAATCACCTTCCTGGAGCCATGGGCTTGAGATTCAATTCCTGGCCATAGAGTCTGGTCACAAAAGGGCTTAAGATAAACCCCAAGCTGCCTCTGTCCTGCTGTTTATGGGGGAGATTCTCAAAGATGCCTAAGCAACTTGGGAGCGTAAGTCCCACCAAAAGTCAATGGGACTTAATGCTCCTTAATGCTTTATAGGTCCCTGTGGAAATCTCACCCCAAATCACCACTGCATACATTTAATCAATCTTAGCCTGGGACGCTGCTTGAAAGCTCATGGCAGCTGTTCACGTCAGGGCTATAACTGCAGCCAATCAATATTACCCAAGAAACCCCTTGGGCCCTGCTTCTTAGCAGTATTCTCTCCATAAATGTCAGCTCTGTGGGGCCAGGACTGCATTTCATTCCCTGCGCTGAACAGGCCATCAGAAAACAACACCTTTCCCTCTGGTTTTCATTCCTGGTGCATTGGCACTGGGGAGGCTGTCAGGGATGGTCAGCCAGCCAGCCAATCGTGGGGCAGGGACACTGGTAGGCAGAAACCAGAACTGTGCATATTGCCTTCCAAACAAGGCTCTCAAGCTGCGCTATAAATATCACAGCATGGGCTAATCTTCGCAATGTGCCTGTGAAGTAAGCATTACTCCCACTTTACAGAGTGATAGAGGTCCCTGTGCAAGTCAGCACCATGGTCCAGAACAGACTCTAGCCAGTGCTGGGCTGTAACCTGGAGACCACATTCCCTGTGTTTCCAGCCCAGCGTTCTATGAGCTGCAGGTACAGTTTCAAAGATGAATTTCATGCCATTCTTTCTCTCTCAATAAGCATAATGCCAGCTCTGGCCCTGCATGCAGCGTTCTTTAGTCCTTCCTTTCAAGCTAGGGTGACCAGATGTCCCAATTTTACAGGGACGGTTCCGATTTTTGGGTCTTTTTCTTATATAGGCTCCTATTACCCCCCCAGCCCCTGTCCCGATTTTTCACATTTGCTGTCTGGTCACCCTATTTCAAGCTGAGTTTACTGGTCTCCTTCATCCAAGTTAGAAATCTAGTCCATAAAAGGCACACAGGGTCCAGTTCATCCAGAACCCTTGTAGCTATTTACACTCATACAATGAGGGTGAAAAATGGTACCCTTGTGATTTCGTAGTGCTTCACTTTGCACAAGGCGCAAGGCTGAACTGGGCCCACAGAAAAATCCTCCATCCTAAGTAGGAGCTGACCTCCCAGAGTAACCTGGAGCCAAGAAGTTAGTCCAGTTAAAAGAAAAGTCACACTAAACAAGTTTGACAGTGTTTTTTTTTTAATAAATAATATTTTGGCACAGAAATATACCAAGTTTTACAGAATACAAACTGCAGGGTTAATTACTGTGAATATTACAGAGAGAGAGGGGAAGAAATTCCCATCTATCTCCCTCTGTTCCTTTTCAGGCTCCGGTGGATCCTGATCATATATATAGACCATATATACCTCTCAGCCCGCTAAGGCCCACGTGTGGAACACAGACCCAGGAGAGAGACACAACAAACAGGAGTGCAGACATCTGCAAACAATGCAAGCGTGGTGCCTGGAACAGAAATAACATTTTCCCTGTTTCCTGAGTCCACCTTTCTACTATCAGACATTTTCCAGCATGAATGAGTGAGAACACAGGATGTGCTTGGGCCAGAGGCAAACCTTGGACAGTTGAGCGGTATATGTAGTGACGGGAGTTTCCACCCAGCTGAAATGTCCTTTCAGGTGCTCGTGGGGGGAGATTTGTGCTCGGTAACATTACAGGGATGGCAGTGCTGGACTAGCAGTGAGACCACCACAGTGGGGGGATGCCAACAAGGGGGGGGGCATGAGGGAGAGAGCAGGAGCCTTCCTTGCTAAACAGAGATCCTTGCAATGAGGAACTCACCAGCAGGGTTGTAAAGGGGCCAGTTGGAGGTGCAACTCAGAGAAGCAACTGGATTGCTTTCCAAGATGGCATGCAACAGGAGTATGGGCAGTTTCATTCCCTCAGCAATTCCTTTCACGCTTATCCTAAGTGTGAGCTGTGGGTCCTTTTACCAATCAGGGCATAAGTGCACTGTGCAACGCATGGGCACTACACAAACATCACCAATAATCCATTTCTCCTCAAGAAAGTAACAGAGCTGAACCATTGTTCGGATCCAGTAAGCAGCTACTTTTCCAAAGGGGACACCTTCATGTTAAATATCAGACCCTGCAAGACAGAATTGGCCTTCCAGTGTTATTAGCAACACTTTGGATTCCTAAAAGCAAACAGAGTTCACTTTATGCCATTTGTGTACTGGGTGCACTTCATGGCCCGCTGCGCTGGGTCACTTTCTGATCACTGTCAGTTTTACTGTCTGACTCCTCTGCCTTAGCAGAATATTGCAGCTTTTAGATTCATAGGGCTGCAGAAGAGGTTTAAAGAGTTTGGGGCACACAGTTTTTGTTGATTTCATTAAACATTTTGCTGGGGTTTCTCTTTGATTTTACTGTCCTCATTGTGCTTCTGTTTTCTGAAGACGGGGGAAGAGAAGGAAAAAATTTGGAGTGAGGCAAAAGGCCACCAGGAAACAATAACAAAGGTGATGTCAGTCAGACAGCCAAATTCACTGCTGGTGTAGGACAATGGAGTTGTGCCCTCATAAGAGCAGGGACTTTGGTCCACTGTTTAATTAAGTTGCTCTCTGTAACTACTCATGATGTTCAGTTCTCAATGCTCCGACCCCAATAAAAAGCCAGTGACTAAAACACAGATTTTGCAAAAAAGATATTTAGAAAACCAAACATGATCAGTGCATCTGACACTGTTTCTTTAAAAAAAAAAATGCTGGCAAAATTCTGTGAGATCCAGGCCTTAGCCAAACCAGCCCACACTCTCAATTTCTCCACATTCCAGGCATTCTGAAATGGGCCCAAGAACAGATACGAGGGAGCAGCATGGGAGCGTGAGGTCCACTATTGCTGATGGAAGCTGGGACAGGGAGTGTGCACTGCAACTCTAGAAAGTCTGACAGCGCATTCTGGTTTTAAATTGGTAGCCCTAGAGCCTGAAGTTCAACACAGACCCTAGAGAAACCCCACAGATAATCCAATCCATGTCCACGCACCAAAGCACTCTTAAACCCATAAGGAGAAGAGTCCTCTGCAGACAGAGGAAGCTCAAAAGAACCTGGAGAATCTTATAGGGAACTTTCCTAAGCTCTGCCCATTTATCCTGTGCTGGATCCTTTGTACCTTGATCCAAGGATCTCAAGGCACTTTACATGCGATGAATTTAGCCTCACAACACCCCCACAAGATACTGTCCCTCCGGAGGAGGAAACTGAAGCACAGATAGGGTAAGTGACTGTCCCAAGGTCACACAGTGCCTCAGTGACAGGGCCAGGAACAGAACCCAGACCTTCTAACTCCCAGTCCTATGCCTTAACCACAATCTGTCCAACAATATGCAGCCTTTGTATGTTTGTGATGTTTCATAGATCTCTTTACAGTTACAGGTGACCAGAAGTCATAGGAAAGAGTGGAGATTTGACCTCCTGGTTGCATATAAAGCACAGTGCTGTGAACATGGGATCTTCAACAGAGAGTCACATTTGTGAAGCTTGGTAATGGCTTGTATCAAACACGCACCATGCAGAAAATGCCTCCTACCCATATGGCCAGCCCCAGCCTCTGGGAGAGGGTAAGAGTCCACCAGCCCCGACAACTCCCTGCACAGCACTTCCTGCTGAACAGAAACACTGCAAAGCACCTGAGTTGATGGCAGCACGGTACAGTTGGCTAATCAGAGCATCTGAGTGTCTAGGGATTTTCTTTGAGTTATGGGCTGGACAGCACTGAGTTCCTCTTTCCCCCACTTTACTTCACAAGAGCATGTTCACCCACAATTCCCCTCTCCCCTCTCCCTCGTTCCTCTGCTCTCCCTCATCTGTGCCTCCTGCTTCCTCTAGCTCTGCCCTGCCAGCTGTGAGCCCCAGAAGGCAGCAAGGGGCAGCACAAGACACTGAAGCAAGCCAGGCTTGCCTGACCCTGGCAGGTGCACCAGGCCCTACGGTCCCAAGTCAGCGCGCCCTGACCTCACAAAGCCCCAGGGATTCCCCTCTGCCTTGGCAGGTTCTGTACAGTAGCCTCAGCACAGATCATGCTGTGCGCCTTGGAGACCGGTCTCATATCCTCACCTTGCAGAGCTGATGGTCCCACAGAAGCAAAGCTGCAGGCAGGACAAATGGACCTGGGGAAGCATGTCTGGGGTGGAGGATGGCAGGGATGCTGCACTGCATCTGCCTCCAGCCTGGTGAGCATGTAGTTCAATGCATCCCTTTCTGCAGATAGTTCACAGACTGCACTGGTAGAGGAAACTGGAGCATGGTGGGATGGGGAAAGGGATGGAAAGACATCCTCTTTAACTGTATCCAATTTGTGGGAGAGCCCTGGCAGTGGACTGGGAGGAGGAACGGGGAAGGGTTGAGGAAGAAGAGGCGTCCCCAAATGTAAAGAAAGGGAAGAACCTTAAAAATCTGCCAGGACCAATCTTTGATTTGGCGTCATGCAAGGCAAAAGGACAGACCACTGCCCGCCTGCTTCAGCCATACACAGAGACAGGAGGCACAAGAGGACAATCCCAGCTCAATGCCCTCATCCCCAATTGCTACAGAAGCACCGCTCACTAGAACAGATGTTATGAAAAGCAGTGATCATTGAGACACAAACCCCAGTCCCCACCTCTAGAGACATTCTCTACACAGGCGCTAGCCCCTGGGATATTCCCCTTTGGAAATAAGATACAGGATCACAAAACGTCTCCCTGGTTGCAGCCGCATCCCGCAGAAGATCACAACGATGCAGAATGCAGGTGGGCAGAATGAGCAGAGAAGAGGGAGGAGGCCGATATAAACTGCATCTGTCTCACTGTTCCAGGTAACAGAGCTAGAGAGTGGATTTGTTTCACCCCTTGTGCAAAGCTGTGCAGGGATCTCAAGTGATTGACTTTCACACACACACACACACACACACACACACACACACCCCTGGCAAGAAACCAAGGAAAAGTAAATCTTCCAAAGGCAAAATAAAATATTAGTGCTAAACAAGTGAGCAGTGAAATAGCCAGGACCATCCCCTACCCTCTCCCAGAACAAAGATCCCACAGTCCAGATGCAGGGAAAACAGGACCTCGTCCAGATGTAGGAACAACAGGATTGCTGAGGCACATACCATCATCGGCTCCATTGATGGATGTTGCAAGAAACATTGAAAAGGTCCTGTCTGTCTGACCGCTGGTCCCATGTCTACGGGCGTCTCAGCGTCATGGGTGCTGGGGACAGCGTGTGCATATGCAGTGGGGCTGAGGTGGGTGCCGAGGCAGCAGTGCGGCTGTTTCAAACACAGGACGACACTACACCTATTTTTTGGATTGAACACACCGACGAGAACCCCACAGGGCCAGCGACAATCTGCCACTCATCTCCTGCTGTTACGGCACTTATGGGAAAGGGCTAGCAGGGCCATTCTCCCTTCTCGCAGCCTGGCGCTCCACAGAGCACCCCTCCCCGCTTCTGTGAGTGCCACGGCACACGGGCAGAGCTGCCTGTTTGGGGTGGGCAGGAAGCACCTCTTGCCCCTCGGGAAGGTTTTGTTCATGCTGCTCCGCTCTTCCCACTACAAAAAGAAATGGGGCTTTGCTGGGATACAGGGAGAGGAACTCCACTGCTATGAGATCCCTTCACCCCAGTGATCATAGGCACCCAGGAACCTAACATAATCTGCCAGGGTGCCTCTCGGGGGCTGGTCTCTCTCCATGCAGAGCCTGTGCGAGCTGGCTTGTGGCTGCAGGAGAGAGAGGATTTCCAGGGCTTGTGCCTTCTTGCATCGGTGGCTGCTCTCCGCTGCACCCCAGCCTGGACTCTGGTGCCACCTCCCCGTTAGCGATGGTTATTTTTGGTGAGCGAAGAAGGTAAGGCTTTTCCGTGATGGCATTGTCTAGTAAAAGTGAGAGAGAGAATCACACCAAAAGGAGGGTCCAGGCGCAGGGAGCTAGCGCCGCTATTTGCCCAAGGTAGGGGCCACACCCACTATCTCTTCGTATTTGGGCGGTGGGTCATTGTAGGAGATGCAGGTTTCCTCACCACTGCTGCTCTCCGGGTGACCGGTCACCTCCTCATAGGAAGGGGGAGGGGTGGCGCTAGACAGTCTGGAGAGGATGGAGAAGGAGTGCTCCGGCGGATAAAGAGTGCCTCCTGCTCTGCCATCAGCAGGCACCCTGGTGCCTGGCTCGCGCTGGGACTGGCCTTCCCCCTGGCTGTGAGAGGTCTCTCGGTACACCATGACCCTGGGGAGGCTGCGGCCCGCTCGGCTGGCCAAGTAGCGGTTCTGGGCGTACGAGGGACGGTGGCGCGTGGCCTTCTGTAGCTGACACCTCCAGATGATGAACAGGGCAATGACTATGAGCAGAGCCACTCCCAGGAGAGGCACCACCACATACATGGCATCTGAGCGCTCCGTGCCCTGCCCGGGGTCCTTGACGGAGTATATGGAGTTGGTGTATCCTTTCCAGAACTCCATCTGCAGAGGGGAACAAACCAGCACCAGTCACAGGCATTTGTGTCAGAGCAGCGCCCCTCAGCTTGGGAGCCAAAGGAAGAGGGCAGCCGCAAGGGGCTGCTCGCTTACATGCCTGACTTCCACTCTGTAGCTGAGGTAGAACTGTTCCGCCACCTCCTACTGGTTCCCCTCCAACGGAGCACAAACCAGGGAGCCAGTACCTGAGACATCATGGGAACCAGTGCACAGGTTTCTGGGCTCTCGCCCTGGCAGCAGCAAGTGGCCCAATGAGAGGCCGAGGGCGCCTGTGCTAGCACCACCCCCTGCCCTGGTTAGACTGGGGGGCAGGGAGTGTGCCACAAGCACATGGTGGCAGTGCCAACAATGCCTTGCCAACACCATGGCTCGCAGTGAAAGGACACCTGGCAGGGAGATGGCCTTGCTTGGGAGAGGTGGGTAACAGAAAACTGAGCTCAGGTTTCCTGATGACACCAGGGAACAAACCACCTCATGGGCAGGGCAATCCACTCTCTCTCCCCTCCATCTCCTTCACCACCCCCCTCAGGGCTCGAGTTATTCCATCTCCTCAGGCTCTGGTCCCCACAGATCTCGCCCCCCGTGTACCGTTTTCTCCTTGTTCTCAAACACCTCCTTGACCTCCTCATAGCTGCAGATCTCCTCGATGCACTCCCGCTCGATGGTGCCCTGGCGGAACTCCTCCAGGAAGCTGTTGGCCCGGGGGAAGCGTTTGAGAATTGAGTGGGCGTTCTTGGCCCCCAGGAACACTGCAACACACAACACAGAGAGGTGCTGAGGACTCCCGCACACCCAGCCCCACAATGATCCAACCAGTGGCCTCTCACTGCCACAGGGCACAGGCTACTACACAGATGGCAGCTTCGGGTACCCAGCAGCACAGGTGCCCATCGGCTACGCTACACAACCCAGTGCTAGAGTCCACCCACCCAGTCCCGCTAGCTAAGAAGGCACAACGTCCTACCAGAGAGAGGGTAGAGCAGGAGCTGAGCAGCCCTTACAGGCTCTCCCACTGCCTAGGACCAAGCTGGCCAGTGCTAGCGTGATGGAGCCAGATGGGAACCGTGCGCTGGGCTAAGGGAGGACAATGGCAAGAGAGATTCACAAGTAGAGCTTTAATAGTCCCCTACCAGCAGAACACAATGACCTCGGCACTGCCATATCACAGCCCATCCCCCTCTCTCAACAGTCTGAATGCTTCAAAGAGCGTCCAGGACTAGATTGAGGGGGAAACTTGTGAGTCCTACACTGGGCTGGTTGTAACTTCAGGCCCTCGGTGCTATTGTCCATTCCACCCCACTGCCCAAGAGAAAGCCAGTGCTGTTGGGATGCAGGGGGGGAGGAGATCAGAACCCAGCCCGCAACCAACCCATACAATGCAGCTCTGGGCCACCATCCACTAAAAGCATCAGCCAAACTCCAGGGGGATTTTAGTCCCGCCTGGGGTATATTGTTCATGTTAAAACCCTGGCCTTTGGTCCTGCTCCCTGAATGCAGCTGAGGGTGTCCTGTTGCAATATCACCCACCTGCAGTCTCCTGTCTAACAGCACCGGAAACCTGCGCAACACCCAATCTGGGCTGATGCAGCCATCCTGTATCGCCTGCCCTGGTTCCTTATAATAACAAGTGCACTCAATTCAATAGGCTGGGAACCATCAGCTAGATTACAGGCAAAGCGCCCACTGCGACAGGTGACCAGAGCACAACTGGTACCGCTATGGCACCGCCCCATTTATGGCTACAATAGGAGGAGGCAGCCCCAGGGCACAGGGAAGAGGCATGGATGGAGGAACAGGAACAGGGTCTGCGCCCTCCACTGGCAGGCTGCGTTGCCAGCAACACCACTTCTGTTCAGAAGAACCAAAGCGTCATGCGTCTATTTGCTGCCAGAATCAATAATGAGCAGGGACTCTTTGTTAAGAGGCGCCACTGTCTGAGGGAAGGAGAGTGGGGCTTTTGCAGCCCTTCTCTACATCATCACCTCAGCCCATGCTGCACATTATAGGCCAGCAGATTAGGCGGCATCTGCACCAGCGCTGAACCGCGGTAGCTGCAGCAGGGGATGATGCCAGTCTAAGTACCAACCAGCCAATGCACCTATGCTAGCCGTGCTCTGCCCCCCCCCACCTTATGCTGCATTACCAATCCCACGTTCCCAGCACACCACTGCAGGGTGGGAGATTCTAAAAGGCCTTCTGTGACCCCAGAGGGATTGTCGGAGATGAGGCCAAACTCCCATAGTTCCCCAGGAGTTGGCATTATTTCCGATTCCCTTTCTCAAATGGGCCAGGACAAATGCTCAGCTCAGGAATGATTCCAGCTGGAGCTTTGGAGAAGCCGTCCTGAGGTGCATCCAACAGCTGCTACGAGGTACAGGAGAGCCCCAACAGCACCTGTGAAGAGCCAGAGACCAATACCAGCACTCACGCAGCTTCAGCTGCAATGCTCATGCCCCTACCCCACCCATGGCTGGATCTGTGCAGTATGCAAGGATGACACTCTGCAGATGAAATCCCACTTTGAGTCCTCACCATGTCACAGACTGGGAACACCAAGTGGTTCAGGACCTGTGAGGAGCAGCAAGCAGCTGCATAACTTCATACTAAGGAAGGACACTTTTCAGTGCAGTGGGTGTGGGACTAGCCCCAATGCAGAAGCACCAGCCCACAAGGAGGAGACAGCCAATCACCCTGCAGAAGAGTGGCAATTGCCCTGTGGAAGCTATCCACCCAGGACAGTTATTTATCCCTTGGGTCCCAGTTTGGGGCTGGGAAGTCTCCTGCAGGTGCTTGTTTCAGACTCTCGCAATAGCATGGCATTCCATGCAGTGGCATGTGCTCAGATCAGAGCAGCCAAGGTAGCAGAGAGAATTCATGGATTTAAATAACCAGGTTGGCTCCAATCAATGGAACCTATGCGCCTATTGTGTGCTCTGTCCCAACAAGTCAGAATGTGCTCATAGGAAGGGGTCCTACTCACTGGGGTTCACAGGAAGATCATGCAAACATACCTAGAGTGCTCAGAGCACATAGCAGAATGGTCAAACACTCTGGACTCTTCCAGGTGAACCCTACTCTCACTGAATGGCACAGGCACTGATGGGGTCTCCATCCCCACAGCAATTCAGGCTCACCCTGCAGGCCAACCAGTGCCTCAGTTTATGAAACCATTCTCAGATGGCACAAACCCAGAGACCTGTATCCAGGACAGTGCACATTTGAGAGACAAGGCCAGGTGGGTTACCAGCGGTGACACTTCACTGACTACTGTAGCAATTATATCTGCAATCACATGCATTTTGCAAAATCCATGTGAAAGCAAAGGCAAGATCTCCTGTGCACAGTGGAGTGAGAGGGCAGCAGGATTTCAAGCAACTTACACACAGCCAAACTGTTACACATGAAGCAGTTATTCATTAGCACAGCCTGCGATTTGACCAGATAACAAGGGCTCTGTGCACACACTTTCTAACTAATGGCAGGACTTGGAAGAAGAATCATGCTAGCAGTTAACTAAAAATGTTACCTTGTCTTTAACTAGGAGTCATTTGTTGCTATATTGGTGGCAGGTTTCTCCTTGTTTTCATGTGACCTTCATTTTTCCTATTCTCAACTGGTATGGTGAGTGGTTTTATGGAGTATACTACTCCAGAGGCATTGATGTGTATTAGCAATTACTGCTATGACATGCCACCATCTTTTGGTCATGATGGGATACACTTGATGGGTAACTGCATTTACTTTTTTCCCTGTGGTTTATTAATGAGGGAGTTTATGGAAGAGAGAACTGCTGTTGTATGGATTGCGATACTGGCAGACCAGGTAGCAGCTCGTGCTAAGGTCCCCATGTCTCAACTGAACACTGAAAAATACACAACTGGAAGCAGTCTGGCTCACCTGTGTGTTAGTGTTATTAAAATAGGTATTAGAATTTAATAACATGTTTAGACTTTACTGATTGCTTGTGAGTTGCTGCATGCATTAATCTCACCTTACAATATGGGATACAGACTCTAAGTAATATTTAAGCATTTGTATTGTAAGCTTCTGTGACACTGTAGATCACCAGACAGGAGAGAGATATTAACTAGTGTAAAGTGCTGGTCACCAACAGAAGGTGTTACATCCTGGCCAGTAGGAAGGCCCATCAACACCAGATGGACTATTGTAGAACATTAAAGAGAACAAAAGACATTTGTTGCTCTGCTCTCTCCCCCACCCCCCACCCCCCAACAAAGATGAGTCATGCAAGTGGATTCCTCCCATCAGCTGAGTTCACAACTCAGAGCACATAGAATCATAGGACTGGAAGGGACCTTGAGAGGTCATCTAGTCCAGTCCCATGCATGGGGAGATAGGAATAAAAACACCTAACAAGAAAGAACTGGATCTCTATGCTGCTTGGACTCTGGGGGGGCAAGATTTTCTATGCATAAGCAAAAGATTCCCAGAGCTTAGCCTGGGTTAGCCCTAAATGACATATAGAGCTTGCTTTTTATAGAAGCTTCTATTACCTCTTGAAACTTAAGATTGTAACTCATTTGTATATTTATGTTTATCTGCTTTAATCTTGTAAATAACTCTCATTTCCTTTTCTATTTAATAAATCTTTAGATAGTTTATTATAGGATTGGTTACAAGTGTTGTCTTCAGTGTGAGATCTAAAGTGAAACTGATGTATGGTAAGTGACTGGTCCTTTGGAACTAGAGTAAACTGAATATTGCTGTGATTCGTGGTGTAAGGGACCGTTTATCACAAAGGTAGGCTCGCCTGGGTGGCAAGACAGATGGGAGTACCCCAGGAATCTGTCTGTGACCCCATATTAAGGCTGTTATCGTGCCTGAGGAGTTTACACTTAATAACTGACTGGCGAAATCTAAGTATAGAACTCACAGGCAATTTGGGGTTTGTGCCCTGGTTCTTAGCAGTCTGCCCTGAGGTTGGTACTCAGGCTCCCGAGTCACTGCAGACAGCTCGACATGGATAATAGAGAACTGTGTGAAGGATGTGAATTACACTGACTTTTCTCCAGAATCTACTTTATTATACAGAGATGCAGGCCAGCTGCAATACTAGACCAGAGCAACATATTTACAAAAAAAAATGGCAACGGAGAGACTATTTTACAATCATCAAGTGCATCTTGCTGGGGCCCCAGCTCTCCTATTTCTTCAATCTTTGTGAAGGAGTTTCATGGGGAATGGCTGTGAGGGAGCTGTTCCGAGAGGAGCACTGGCCAGCTTAGCAGGGTTGTACTGAGCAGATGATGCAGGGATCGGTTGCTGGGTCAGCTTTGGCTACCATCTGCTCTTCAGCCTTCGTGCACTGGGTGGAGGTTTCACAATGGAGCTGTCTATCCTCAAGTCATTTCCTATCTTGCTGGAAAAAGCCTGGCACCAGCTCCTCGGCCTCCTGCCTCGACCCCTCCAGTCTTTCAGGAGCACATCTCACTTCCTCCTCCTCCTCGCACTGGAACATTCGCTCTGAGCTCCTTTGAGTCTCCCTCTGTGTTTCCTGAAGTAACAAGCCTGTTCCCTGCTTTTCCTGGACCTCAGGTTTGCCAGCCTTTCCACCACTGTGCAACCTGGGCCGTTCCCTGCTCTGGGACATCCACGGTGCTGTACTGGCTTCTATAATGAAAAGAAACAAATAAGAGCTTCAATAAGTGAAGCAAAAGCTCAATCATTCCTTGGATCACCAAGGAACACAATGGAAGCCTTTGTTCTAGCCCAATTTCGAATGCCAGTGCCTCCAGAAAGGCTCTCCTTGGACTGGAGCCCGCAAGGACCCCTTAGAATTCACAACTGTTACAAGAAGGGTGGAGATGCTAAATCATTAGAACGAAGGACAAGGAAGGGATGGGGAGCTACTGACAGTCAGTATAATCACACTACCAAAGGCTACTTATCAGGCAAACAGGAGCCTCGGAGACATGTCTGTGCCGATGGTCCCAACAAGAGTAAGCATGGGATGTCAGAGCAAGGGGGGAGGCTGGCAGGTTAGCCCTGGAGTCACTCGAATGGGCACTGGGGGACAGGCTCAGAGAAAGCAGGGGCTGCGTGAGCTTCTACAGCAGGGGTGGGCAAACTTTTTGGCCTGAGGGCCACATCTGGGTGGGGAAATTGTATGCAGGGCCATGAATGTAGGGCTGGGGCTGGGGGTTGGGGTGTGGGAGGAAGTGCAGTGTGCAGGAAGGGGCTCAAGGCAAGGGGTTGGGGTGCAGGAGGGGGCGCGGAGTATGGGAGGGGGCTCAGGGTCGGGGTTCAGGAGAGGGTGTGTAGTGCACGAGGGGGTTGAGGTGCAGGGTGCAGGAGGGGTTTGGGGTGTGGGCTCCGGCCCCGCTTACCTCAAGCAGTTCTGGGGTGGCAGCGGCACACAGCAAGGCTAAGGCCCCGCACCGCTCCCGGAAGTGGCCAGCATCTCCGGCAGTGGCTCCTGGGGGTGGGGTGAGGCAGGCAGCTCCGCCATTCGCTGCCCTTGCCTGCGGGTACCACCCCCCACCCCAAAGCTCCCATTGGGTGCGGTTCCCTGTTCCCGGCCAATGGGAGCTGCGGGGGGCAGTGCCTGCAGGAGAGGGCAATGCACAGAGCCCTCTACCCCCGCCTCTCTCCCAGGGACCACAGGGATGCGGCGCAGGGCCAGGGCAGGCAGGGACCCTGCCTTAGCCCCTCTGTGCCACAGGGCTGGCAATCCCACAGGCTGGATTGAAAGCCCTGATGGGCCAGATCCAGCCCACGGGCCATAGTTTGCCCTTCCCTGTTCTCAGTGTAAAGGGGAATAAGCAGTGCCTCCAAATTGGATCCGGGGAGGGGACGGGGGACGACGACGACGGGGGGCGATTTTCAAAGGCACTAAGACCAGTGAGCCCCACTGACTCTCAACAGCAGGGTGTGCCCCTGAAGATCTCCCTCTGTACGCTGGAGCACAAGCGTCATGAAAGGTTTACAGACAGAGAGGAATAAGGATTAAGGTTAATTGGTATCCACGGTAGATTTCTTTCAATGCATTCAGTGCCTGACAGCAGGTAGGGTAAGCAGTAATTATCCTGGCAGCTCCCATGGCCTGTGTTAGATCTATATCACTTTGCTATCAAAATATGCCAATGACTGTCTTTTATGCATTAATCAGACAGAACGGCATGTGACTGAGGCCAGATAAGAGCAGAATGCTAATTGGATGCCATGGCCCAGGGGCCAACAGATGCAGTGCCACAAACATTTGGCCACAGCAGCCAAGAGGTAGCTTCCTGCCACCCAGGTCTTATTCGTAGGCTTAAGCTGCAGTTTGTGTTATTTTTGTTTTCCCCCCTTACTTTGCCAGCTTCGAGTCCAGGCAGATGGCATTGCTCAGTGGCTGTTGGGTAAAGCCACCCTAACAGCAAACATGGCTCATACAGCCAGAAAGGCATTGGGCAGGGTTACTGAGCGGGAGGCCAGAACTGGGGAATTACTGGGGAAGGGCCTGGTAGCTGTGGAGCCAGGGAGGGCAGGGGGAGGGGTGAGGCCTTCCACCCTTGTCTGAGGTGACAAGTGCCTTTTAAAAAACAGTCATGGCAGCATCCATAAGAAGCCACAAAACTCTTCCCCCTGCACCTGCACTCAGCCTCCTCACTGGCACAATACATATAACAAAGAGCTGCATACCTGGCACAGAGCAGCCCTCGTCCCCCGGGTCCTCCTGCTGGCTCAGCTCGACCGCTGTCTCCACTGTTAGGTCTGGATCCTGGCATGCCCCAAGCAGATCCCGAGACCCCAGCAAGATCCCTGGCCTCTCCCAGTCTGGCTTCAGAACCAACGCTATCCTCAGCTCTCAGCGGAGCACCGCACGCAGCCTCTGTGCCATGCAGCAGCACATCAGGCTGCACACAAGAGCGAGCAGGAAGGATTCAGTGTAGCTCTTTAAAGATCAAACATGCTTTTCCCACCCTGCTATTATTGTCCCAGCTTTATCATACTGAACCATCGGGCCCTCGATATTGTCCCAGCACTGCTCGCTAGTCCGAGCAGCGGCCATTGCAGTGGGTTACTTGGCTGTTCACTTACATAGCGACTGCAGGGCCTGGGTCACCTCACCTCCCCTCCCCAGCTAGTCACCAATGCCCACAGCACTCTCAGATCTGCCCCTACCATGCTCCCAGGAAATCCTCCTCAGAGCCATGCTGGCGACTGCAGAACAAAGTCAAATTGCTGCTGAAGAAGTGGGTTGTTGTGAACACAGTGCACAAATGAGCGCCACCGTCTGGGCAGCACAGGTAACAGGCCCCAAGCCAAATGGCCCCTTGTGCCACACAGCACAGAAAGCAGACCAGGCAGGCTGCCTAAGCAGTGACCAGTACACTGTGGGAAGGGCAGAGCAGTACTCCATGCACGACTGGGGCTATTAGGCCAGCGATCTGTGCCCACTCTGGCTTGGTAAGGTGGTGAGAGCAAGGCTGAGCCAACTGGTGGCATAACTGAAAATGCACAGTTGGGTGGGGGTGCCTGGTGTGTTACAGGCGTGCGAGAGGGACCAGCAATTCACCCAGCTGCTCTACTGGACACCAGACTCCGACTCTGCAGCCAGGGAACACACAGCGAAGAGATGTGCAGGAAGAGATAAAGCCATGCCTCATGCCTCTGATCCTAGAAGGAGCCATGACGCTGCCCCACCTCTGAGATCCAAGGCAACACAGCCTATTTCCTACCATCTTCTCAAAGAGGAGGCTGCCAGCCCTTTCCCCCCACCACGTGCAAGAGACCCATCCCCCCCCACACCTCTTCCTCCAGGAGGGGTGGAGAGACCACGCTTGCCCCTCCCTGCCCTTGAGGCCCTCATTGGGAAATACTTACTTGCCATGCTGCCTTGCTCAGACACTCAGGGCTCTCACCTACCTGTTGGGAAGAAAATGGGAGAGTCATGGAGCGTTCAAAGTCGCAGGCCCTTGGTTCCAAGCCCTTGGTCACACGAGTAGCAGGGACTGATCCATGGGGAGAGATGGCTTTTTCTGGAGCCTGGGCAGCCTGCTGCAGGTTCCAGCTGAGCTCTATATACCCATCATCTCTACAGGAAACCATGACCCAGCCAATACAGCCTCCAGGCTCCTTTGGTACACACCACACGTCACAGAATGGCAGCTGGCCCTCACCAGCTCATCCAACCCACTTTCAGCCCTCCCACCCCATATATCCATTCGGCATCTGATCTGCCCCAAGATCTCCCGGTTTCAAGACAGAGCATATCAGCGGCTCTGCATAACCCCAGTGCCCCCAAGAAGCAGGCTACAAGGCCTATGGGGATTCCCGTCAGTCAGCTCAGGGCATCCTTGTCTCTCAGAGAACAAATGTGCCCCACTTCAGTAGAAGAGGGTAAAAACACCCCCATGGCTTCTGCTCCATCACATCATGCAGGAGAGATGTAGCACACTCCGGTCCCCACACATTAACTGGCTGCTTCATATCATCTAGCCTCAGGCTGGTGGACAAGAGGCATAGAACATGCAGGCTTGCAAAGTGCTTTACAACCTCTCCCCACCACAGCAGACTTTATAGTTCACTGCCAGGCTACGTCCAAAATCCGCTGCCCTAACATTAACTACCCTTCACCCCAAGGCCAGCGCCTCTTACGTGGCCAGGAAAGCTCTGCCAGCCAGTCTAAACCCACAGTGTGCACTTAGGAGCCTTACTGGTCTGAGAATTTACAGCCCAATCCTGCAACCTGCTGAGGCCAGGTCTATACCACAAAGTTTTCCTGGAATAGTTATGTAGGGCAGGGGTGTGAAAAAATCCACACCGCTGACCAACACAGCCAGGCTGCCAAAAACCTCCATGTAGATGCTGCTATGCCAGCACAAGTCCTTTTACCAGCATAGTTTATGTCGTTTGGACAAAAGATCTCTTTATGCCACATCTCCTCTAGGTGGCTCTATTAGCATAGCTACTAGTATAGCCTCTCTCATGTAGACTGCTTGGGGGTGTTCTCAGCTCCCTAAGGCAGTAGGAATTGAGGATGCTCAACCACCTCACAGAATCAGGCCCTTGAAGAAGAGAGTTTGAACACCTGAGTGCATACAGAACCATGTCCATAAAATGAAAGATGAGCTAGATGGCCAGGAGCCCAGAGCCAACCCAGAGGGTGAGAAATAAACAAGATTTCTTCACCCAGAGGTGCTAGATCAAAGCCGATCTCCACAGCACATAGATACTGTACTACAGGCTTGAAAACTGCACCTGGCACCTGCTAGCTTTAGGGTGAATACACCAGCCACATGAAGGAAGAAACACCCCCTTTACCCCCCACTGAGAGCTCCTGCCCACAGAATGTAAGCTGTTTGGGGCAGGGACCATCCATTCTGAGTTTGTACAGCACCTGGCACATAGGGGCCCCAGTAATGCATCAGGGCCCAAGGCACCACTTCAACACAAGTTGAGTAACAGTAATATAGTAATAGTATCCCAGCCACTAGAAAGAGAGGGTGCTGGAATGCAGCCTGCTACTCTATCCTTCCCCCCCACCTCCCGGCTACTGCTACTCTACCCAAGCCCTTCAACAGCCTCCAATTTATTTATTTTTGAGCCCTTCTCCTCCATGAACTGTTCCAGTGGATGCTTCTGCTATTCACAGCTTTCCCGCATACCTGCAGAATGACAACTGCTGACTGTTTCACTGCTGCTCAGCCTACTGAATAGCAGCAGTGCAAATGAGAAGAGTTCCATTAATGCTGCACGGCAAAACTAACAGCACAGTAGTGGTGCTACAGCTGTCAGCAAACTCAGGAAGGCAATACTACATTTGGAAGGTTAACTTGCTGTAAACAATGAAATCACATTGTGTACAAGGGTCTGGTGTCTCTCCACAAACAGGAGCCATTTCCTATTCACCGGTGACAAGTGGATCCTTCAGACTCTATTCTACCACCTCCCCATTGTGCTCTGCTAGCCAGCTCAAGCCCATGATGCATCATTACAGGAATTCCCTGGCTCTTCTCCCCACATCTCAGATCTGCACAGCAGAACCCATCCCCCTCATTCTGACCATGTAATACAGTGGCACAATTCCATCCAGGGGCTCTAGTGACACTGCAAACCAGAGAAGTAAAAAGATTCTCACCGGACTTTACTTTTATTATTGGGGGGCGGAGGGAGGAGAGAAGAAGAGGAGAAACAACAAGAAATAAAAGCTACACTAGTCTGAGGTCCAGGATTTACAATACGCAGATCTAGATCAGTCCTTAAGTAGCTCAGCAACAGTTTCTAAGTAAAGTAGTTTCTAAGCCCAATTACTTTACTCACCAGTGCTAGAAATAAATGTCACATCTCTTCAAAACCCACAAATCTAAGGCTTCCAGTAGCACAGAGCAGTTGTTTCTCACCCCAACAGGGCAGGGAGTAGTGAACCTTGCACACAACCTCTTTTTGGTTATTACTAACATTTCTACCCACCAACACCACAACTATGTCTTACATGATTTTAGAAGCTGTTGTATCAAGAATGGTTAGACATAGAAAATAAGTCTGTAGCCATATGGAATGCACATTTCAATGGCCTAAAGCATTCATCTCTAGCAGGCTGTGAAATATTGACTGCAAAATACATGCTGGAATTAAAGTGGAGATGAAGGAAGAAAGCAAGATAGCAGACTGTAAAATCAGGTTATCTCAGATAGCACCAGGGGCTAGGAAGACAGATTGGACCAATATAGATGTTTTCAACACTGGAAATTTTTTCTAAGGTCTGGTTAGCCCAATAGAGGAAACTTTGGTCCGTAAAACATTGATGTGACACAGGTTGAGAACTTGTAACTATCCAATTGGATCTTCTATGGACTATAACGTGGTCAGTTGCATCGACTATAATCAGGGGTTGCTTTGGTCTGGTTAATTTTTGCTTATGTTCAGTTTTCATCTTCATCAACAATACTTAGAAGGGACAAGGTGGTCTACAATCATTAATTTATCCTCACACAAGTCAGTGGCAAGAGCTGGGATTAGAAATCAGGAATCCTGGCTCATTAGGCCACACGGTGTCTCTGATGAGCAGCGGTGTACACCCCTCTTCAGAAAAGACACGTTTCAGGGGGTAGGGGTATGAGTGTGTGGGGAGGGGGGCATCATTTTAAGAAAAGCTGATATTTTAAGCTTAATTATAAGATTGAGGCCAGGCTGGTAATATTTGAACTATGCATGCAAGGGGCCAGCTGATGCGATGCAGGTCGTGTGAGGAAGGTGAATATATTCCTAGCACAAAGGAGTAGGGCTATTTAATCCAATGGAAAAACAACCTGGTAGATGAGAGCTTCAATATTCATGTGTATACTATACACATGATTGGCATGCATGTATCATAGCAGCAAGTGACATAGATTATATATAAATACATTTACATTCTGGGCACGAATTTCACATTTCTAAACACACCAGCATTATAGGCACCCATACAAAACACAGGGTCTGGAACTCAAAATACTCCACCTCAAAGGACACTGAAGAGTTAATTTTTTCTGCCTAAGGATGACAAAAACCTGAGGAACCCAAACCCAGAGCCCAGCCTCAACGCCCACCCGATCGGTTCCCCTCCCTCCTTCTCCGAACAGTGTTTTCCTCCTCTATAAATACACCATCAATAGGAGGTTGCCATGGCAATGGTGAGGAGGCGTGAGGGATACAGCAATGGGGATGCTGATGCAGTCACACATTCGTGTCTTCCAGACCTCGCAACCCCCGGGCTCCCTCCATCCAACGATGATGCTGTGGAAACCGTGCTGGTAGAATATGGTGTCCTCTGCCTCTAGCACTACAGGCAGACTCTGCGTGGGTGTGCGGTCTGGGGGAAGGATGTACGCAGACAGAGAGGTTAGCCAGAACCCCTGATCCTCTTGCCAGCACAGGAGCGGGTTGCGGGATTCCATAACACTACTGACGTGTGGTGGCACGTCGGGAGGCTGCCGGATTGCTGGGCGTCATACCGCCAAGGATGCCAACTGCTTTGCAAGTTCGAAGAACTATTTTTGTTTTCAAAGCCAAGAGCAACACATCGGGGAAGGCTCCACAGGCTCCAATTCTCAGAGACCACAAAGCCCCATGGTGGCCAGGATGCCATCCCCACAAACCAATCCACAAACCCTCAATGGGACCAGAATTCGTCCTAAACAAATCCTAAAACTCACCAGGTTTGGAGTGTATGCTTGCAAACAGCTGTGTAAACTGATATGTACCAGCCAGGCACCTTCCTCAGCCCCCTGGACCTCCCCCGAATCCCACTGTAGCCAGTGAACACACCTTCCCCCACAGTCCACAGCACCCACACACCCTAGCAGATGCTTTCCCAGCTCCTCAGAGCTTAGCACTCAAGTACCGATTCGTTTCACTCTTCCCTCCATTGCCATCATGCTTCCCCTTCCCCCCTCTCCATCCCAACCCCTCTTTCCTTCCCCACCACTTCCCTGACATTCCTGCCTCCCTCCTGATTCCCAAAGGCAGACTCAACCCCATTCTTCTCTATTCCAGTCCCCAAAGCTCCAATCCCACCCTCCCACTCAATCCCCTCTTCCGGTACTGTCCCTCACCCCTCTTCTAGCACACCCCTCAGCCTCCCACTCAGTCTCTACTGCACCCTCAATTTCCACAGTCCTGGGTTGTTTCCAGCTCCTAAAAATTCATACTACTTCACACTACCCTGTCCCCTCCTGCCCCATTTCTTCCCCCTTCCCTCCACTTCCCAGTGCCCCCACCCAGAAATCCATCTCATCTTCCTCCAGCCCCCCTGCCTCTTCCCCATACCTCTACACGCCCCCCCACCTCATTCCGC